ATGTACTCACCATCAAATTGGTATTGCTGATCAACATTTAAGTGCACATATAAGAATAACATTTATTGGATGTTGGGCAGGGGGAGGGGGGAGGGGAGAGGAGGGGACGGGCCTATGCACAAACAATGAGTGCGATGCGCACCTCGCGGGGAATCGACACACTTGAAGCTTGGACTTGGGGGGGAGGGGGGCAAGGGCATCTTATGTAACCTACTCATCTGTACCCCCATAATATGCTGAAATAAAAAAAAAAGGTAAAAGGTCGTAAAAAAAATTTGCCAAAAAAAAAAAACTGCAAAAAGAAAAAAAAATTATTATAGTTACAGGAAGTTGTGAAAATAATACGTAGATGCCCTTGAACTCTTCACCCAGCTTCCTCCAACAGTGACATTTTCCACAACTGTAGGACAATAGCAAAACTAGGAAATTGACATGGTACAATAGTATTAACCTACAGACCATACTCAGCTTTCAGCAGTTTAACATGCACTTATTTGTGTGTGCATATGTCTATGTATATACATGTAGATCCATGCATTTCAACCCCATGTACATATTCACGCAACCTCCAGAACAATCAGGATACAGAATTATTTCACTACCATAAACAGACTGTTATACTACCCCTGTGTGGTCATATCCATCCCTTCCCACTTTCATCTCTGTCCTTGGCAACCACTAGCCTATTCTTCATCTCTATGGTTTGATCATTTTGAGGAGATAAATGGACTCATACAATATGTAATCTCTGATATTGACTTTCTGTTTCACTATCATAATGCCCTTCAGGTCCATCCAAGTTGTCACATATATCAACAGTTTGTTTCTTTTATTACTGAGTTGTATTCTATTTATGAAAAACCAAGTACATTCAACCTTCTGTAGTAATTTAAATATTAGTAGATCCTTGTTTTGACACACAAAAAAATCTGGTTTATTTGTAGAAAGTGGTTCAGAGGCAGAAGCTAGAGGATCACAGTTGAGACTGGTTTTTCTCAAAATTTTCTTTAAGTGAAGAGAGTCTCATTCTTTTTCCTCCAACAATAAAGACTGGGACACCGAGAACTGAGTAGGTTCTATATTGTGTTGAAGACAAGGTAAATACAGAGTATGTCCCACCATTACTCTTCATGACAGTGCACAACATCATAATGATCGGTCATAAGCAAATCAGTGAGGGAAAGGCATCTGAGTACAAAAAATATGTAAGAACAGTGGAAATCCATGGCATTTTTGCATAGGCCTCCTCCAAGCAACAGCCTCTGCCCACCGCCACCCAACTTGGTTGATGTGAGATTATGTAAAATTGGGCCAAGCCATGAGAACTAGCAACAGTGCTGTACAAACAAAAGGTTCTCACTCAATTGTGAGAACAGGTGGCAACACCCATATCAGAGTTGTAGATTGTGGAAATGTCACTCTCAGTAACAGGAAAGCAAACAGGGTCAACAATTCTGCTACCCTGAGGCTGTGGTCATGCTTAGTGAAAGTATATTCTAGACTGACTCTGTAGTAATGCACAGCAGAGACTGGCAAAAATCCAAGTTATCCACACATTCCTAGTAGACCAGAGGCTGCACATATGAACACAGGACATGCAAAAGGCCACAGGATAAATTGAAAACGGGAGCATATTTGAACACAAGCTGAGCTTGGAACACTCCCCTACTCAGCTCAGATGCCCTGGCAGCAATCAGAAGTCCTAGTGACTTCAGGTGTTTGAGTTCAACTTCTGTCCAATCACTGGCTGGCACGTAGATATGCTGATGCAGGAGCAATCCCTCAGGTGCCAGGCATAAGAAGATGAACAAGAATTTCTAAAATTCTGAATGGAATGATGTCTGGTTCCAGTCAAGATTGAGTGCTTCATTCCTCCCTCATCCTCCCTCTTAGAACGTTTTACTCTTGGACATAACATAATGAACAAACTTAGGGAGTCTCTCTGCAAATGGTGAAAAGAAGAAAACAGACTACCTAGAAAACTCAGGGCTTGAGGAAAATATAGTTTTGGGTTTCTTAGGCTTTCTTTTTTGCCTCCAATATATCTCAGATGGGACACTGGCATAGCCTGAAACCCTGAACCACCAAAAGATAAAGACAAGAAAAAAAAAAAAAAAAACACTGTTTTCTAATCAAGGGAACAGAAAACAGATAGCCTACCAGAATAGAAAACTTTTTTTTTAATATAAGACCCATTCTACAACAGCTAAAAACTAAAGGAAAACTACCTCCCACTGTGTTAGCAGCTATTAATATAAGTGGAGAGGTAAACTTCCACGCCTTGCTTGTTGTAGTAAGAGGTACTCTGATTCCCTCACAGGGGTGATATCAGTGGGGCCAACTGGAGACTGAACTTCACCCCATGTCTGGTGGTAGTAGGTGGCAATCTCATGCCCCCATCAGCATGGTACATATGAATCCAAGCAACAATCCAAACTTTTTTCACCACCCAAAGCAACAAAGCAGTGCCAGTTGGCACTTCACTTTCCCTGCCAGTACTGTGTCAATGAAGCCAGATGGGGAGATGAGTTTCCATCCCACCCAACAGCAAGGAAGTGGAACAAGGTTGTGTGAGGTGTAGCTTATCACTTCCCACCCTACACTAGGATCAGCAAGGTCAGTTAGGGAGTTTACATCCACTTGGTGGCAATGGGGCTTTGCCAGTCAATACTGCACTTTTGCTTAGAAAGTGTCAGCAGAACTGAGGTGGGAACTGAACTTCTATACCATGTGTCAGAAATGCGTTGGTCCAAGTCAGCACTTCAGCTTCACATTGTGATGTTCAGGTCTCGACAGGGAACTGAATATTGACACCTACCTACATCTATACTCTACACTAAACAGGGTGACTGCTTACTAAAAACGAAAATGAAACGAAATC